TCTTTCATTAACGTGTCTACTTATGGTACGATCCAAGCTACGGCGTCCGCGGGGACCGACGTGCACCGCAACCCCTGTCCAGTGGTTCGGGCGAATAGTGTGCGAGCTGAACTACTCAATCGGAAACGGACTCTTTGTATTACATGCTGGAATATGCAAACCCTTTTGGAAACTGGTACTTAAAGTGTGACAGCACGCGATCTTCATCAATACCACGTGGATGCTTGCTGCCTGTCTGAAGAAAAAATAGACCTTTGGTTGGATGGTGGAGAAGCCAAAGGCCGCAAACAGAAATGACGTATGGACAGATCTCGTCAAGGGGATCTACTTGCTGGACAAAATGTATGCAAGCATATTTGTTTCCTAATTAATAGGAAATTGATGATGCCTGGGTTAAATAAAAAATAGTCAAAATCACGCAAGTGAGATAACAAGAACGAAATGGGATGGAAGAATCAGGATGAATAAGTACTCTATACTTGGATTTTATTCATTTTCCAACTGAAGGATAAGAAGCAAAACGGAATAGTGGTAAATGGAATATAGTTTGGTCAGGAGAATAATTTAGCGTGACATATTTCCAGGCTAACAAATAGGGGGACCAGCATGTCAATAAATCTAGTTAGGGGTTTGCATGCTACAAATTCTAAATATCTCCGTTGTGAAGGCAGTAAGAATGAGCGCGCTGTTGTTATTTAATCAATGCCTCCAAGTTACGGATATGAACTGGTGTCGTTTGCTCGCTCAGTGCTGGACGGATTATCAGGGGAAACGGAATGGGATCATCGTTGAAGAGTGTGGTCGCCTCCTGACGATAATCACAGATATTTTCCCCTCCGGGAGCAAGCAGCCCAACAGACAGAATGTATTCTCTGCCATCACATAGTCATACGTGAGCATACAGGGTGTCGCGCTAAAGCAGAGTGACTTCATAGAATGGATCATATTTAGACTGTTGGCTGCTTTACAATGGGACTCGGCCAAGAGAAGTGAGCTACATAGGCAGTGGTTTAAATGGTTGACCTCTGATTATATATAAATACTACTTCCTGCGGTTTTGCGTTAGTAGCGGTACACAAAAAGACCTAATTAAGTGCAAGGCATCCAGGAGAGTGGATGCCCAATGCGTAACAGGCAAACTTTGGGATTTTTAATTGACTAAAATAGTCCTC